TCTTTCATTGCATCTTCAGAAAAAGTGATACCTCATCAAAATTTAAAATGCAGTTTAGCTCAGCATTCTGAAATGACAGCAATGAGTAGCAAACTGTCATATAATACAATCATGAAAATATTTTCTGAGGTCCCTTGCAGAATTTTTGTTCTAGATTTAGCACCAGTGCTAAGAAAAGAAGTAACATAAATTCCCTTCATTTCTGTGACTGTGGAGAACCACAGGAAAGTGTTATTGGTACTGAAATCAATAGCTTTTCTTCCATGTATAATTTTTGTATTGCATTGATGTCCTATCTATAAAACAAAAATATGCAGGTAGAGAACATCCTTGGATAATTGTAACAAAATAATACTTGAAGAAGGTAATAGTAATTTTACCACAAATGCTGGAGTAAATAAGTCCTAAGTAATTATTTGTAAAGAAAATATTTCTCATTAAAATGGTATGGTATCTTGGTCCCAAGTATGTCAAAAAATAATAATAATCCTATTAATTTCAACGAAGATATTGCTTTTTGATGATTTTTTGATTACATAATGCAATATCAACTCATGAGAGGTCTTAGCATCTAATTTGTCAGCTCTTCTGCGCTGTTCATCTGTTTGCATTACATTCTTATATTCTTTGAGATTATTTTTTCAAGTGTTATAAAATGTAAAATGCAGCCTAAGTGATCTATGAGTAACAGTTGGGGAAAGGATATATTTCTTTTGGTTATTTTCAATGTTACACATGGTGTGTACCATATTGGCTCAGACAGGACTGTCTTATAATGCATTTTTTTCCATACATGGATGTAACTTTGTCATATTTTCCATGATCATAATGGATGTATTCAAATTGTGAAGCAGATGGTATTTTCAGTGTATACGATAATCTCAGTCTCCAGTGTCTAAATCAGAGTGCTTGCTGTTATTGTCAAGTTCTGTCTCTAATCACAGGCTGAGATTTCCCTTCCAAAGGGAACTAAGGCACACTGATAAACAGTATATATTGAGTTCTTATCATCATCCTCCATCAAGACATAAGATTTTGTGCCTCGACTTGAGAGGTGTCCTCACTAGTAGTTGACGCCAGCATCCACAAAATATTTAAAACAAAAACAACAACAACAACAACGAAACTACAGTTTGTGCTTTAAAATTAATTGCTACTTGGTTCACATGTTAAATTTATTTTAGGGTGAAAATAATATTCCACTTCTTAAAAGTAGCATACACAGTCCTGTAAAAAACTGTTATGGATGTAGGATATGTGGACAATTACTGAACATTTTACAAAGAAAGGAACAGGCTGTTTTTAACTAAAAGAAACCCTGTCAGAATGTATTATAAAGTGTTGAGCTCAGTAACAACACACATTCAGACTTCCCTTACAAATGATTCATAAAAACTGATTTAAGAATAATTTATATGGCACACGCTCCATTTCTTTGTTAATTTGTCAAAAAGCCAACATGTTTTACAAATGTACTTATTGCTCAAAAGTCAGTCTATACATAAATATATATATTTATACAAAATTAATTCAACCTAATTTAATTCTCTGAGGCAAGCACTTAGGAAACAGTTCTGAAGAACTGTGATGCTCAAAAACATGGAAAAATCATTCAGTGGTATAGACGAGTATCCCCGGGGATGTGTATTCCTCATGCAGGAGAATTAGCCTTTAAAATTAGTATTCAAAGCAGTCACAATGAGCATTGTGACACTGAAATAAGACCATAGGAAACATGAAAGATAACAACATATGAAACTCTGCCTCTTGTGTCTTTATGTCAGTAATGTAGCTGCACATCACTGTGAAACTGGGCACTTAGGCATGTAGGTCTTGCTTGTTCTTTATAGTTTGTCACTATGAGGTAGTCACTGAAAAGATAGGTCTAATCCCTGTTCAATGATTGAGCATTTTGCAATAATGAAAAAACAAACAAACATCTTAAAAATGAACACATGAAACCACAAGAGGAAGTAACACAGGGTTCCCTAATGTACCACATTTTAAGAGTGGTCTGACTGCTGGGTCACATCATTCTGCATCTTGTACATCTACTACACATGAAATGTGCAGTTCTGGCTACAGAGCACAGCATTTAGCTTCTCAGGAGTTAAATGAGTCTTACTGCATATATGCTTAATTAATTCACCTAACTTTAGCTAGCTAGAATTTGGACATCTAGTTTAACCAGCTTTTACACTTCTGATATAACAGAGAGGTGCATACACACCCAGAGTGTATCAGGAGGAACCAGTATTCATCACAGTTCAAACCAGGATGAAGGAATTGTCCTTCAGAAATTCTCTCTCTAGAACAAAAAAAATAGCTAGGATGACTTGTTTTAGTGTTAGAAATATGTTGTTTTCCTGACTTAATAACTTAAAACTCACAGCATTTTCCCCAATCTTATTTTTACAAAAAGATTCCTCCTTCATGTGGATGTCTTTGGAAAAAAAAAAAAAAGAAAAAAAAAAGTGTGCAATTTGTTGAAGACCACTCAAAAGAAACAAATAGTTCTTTCGTTTCTGAATAATTTCATGCATAGTCAATGGCCTTTTTAATCTTTACACTTTAGATGAAGAGGGTTTAGTCTTTGCAAAGTATGCTGTTGAGATGTCAGTTCTCAGAACTTGTTTTGATATCCTGAAGTAAGAAGTGCAATCTTGTTGGGAGTAGTCTCTAGAAGGATTTTGCCCCCTCTGCACTAAAAGCCTGATTTTGCAGTGTACTTAAAAGCCATTGCTAAGTAGGACTCTCAATACTGAAGTTATGCATACACTGAAGTGTGTTCCTGAACCATGCCTGTGGTTTGGTGTGACTATCATTCTCTATCCTCTGAATGAGAATGAAGTGAGTAGCAAAGCTACATGGGAAATGCCAAAGTGTGGCATTTCTATGCATCCTTCATCTTCACTCAGACTTCATCTGAATTAGAGTAAGGCCAGATACCCCAGGATTTTGACTGTCCAACTGAGGATCCTTTTTACAACTGCACCTCTCTCCTGGCCTCACCATACATCAGCAAAGAGAAAGGGGTTAGTACATTTATTTGTGGTTCTCCAGAGATAAAGATGAGATAAAGAGACGACCTTTATGTTTCTCATTTAGGAAATGACATGCTTAAATAGGTTTGGTGTTCCTGTGGAAAGGATGTACTCTTGATTTTCTGACAAGATTCGTGGAGTAACATAGGCCTGTAAAAACAGACATTACTATGTAGGTAGGAAGTATGACCACCGGTATTTTGGGGGGTTTTATTATTTTTATTTATTTATTTATATTTATATTTATTATATTTATATTTAAAATATAATTTAATATTTAATAATTTAAATTTAATAATTTAAATATTTTAAATATAATTTATATTTATTATATTTATATTTATTATATTTATATTTATTATTTCATTAATTTAATCATTTTCCACAGTACATAAATAAATGTTATTATTTAAACCATCTGAAAGGAATTGCACACATTTAGAGATCAAGGAAGCTATTCTATTTTTTGTAGCACAGAGTGGTGTGCTCAGGAGGACAGCAAATCAAACAAATATGATATAGTTTCACATAAATTGCCAAATTCCTCTAGTTTATCTGAAACAGAATGTCTTTAATTCTGTTTATGGTAGAGGAGAACTCACCTGTCACATACGCTTGGAGAATGAAAGTGGTGCTAAGCTTATTTTTTTACTAGAAAGGGACAAATATAGAGAGATTTTTTGTTATATACAATTGCAAACGTCTACTGGAAAATAAATCTTTCATTGTGTACTGTGCACAGTTAAGATATTGTCCCTTCCACCCACCCACCCACCCCCCATCTACTTAGACAATTATAAATGTAGCAAACTTTAACTTGTTGCATGTTGGAGATTTTTGCAGCTTATTAGCAACAAGAAATAACGACATCTTGAAGCAAAGGGACCTTCCTGTGCTTAAGAAAGTTGAGAATTTGACCTCTCATATTCTGTTTAATATCAACTATATATTAAATCATGTAATACATATAGTCAAAAGACACAGATGGAAGCATTATGCTAATCCACTGAAATGAATTCATTTACTTACAAACCATTAACAACAACAACAACAAAAGTCATGTGAAATTATTGCATGTGAAATTAATGTCTCCTAAAAGCAGCAACACAATATGAGTGAGGTTGACCTTATAATTATGTGAAATAATACTGAAATCACAATGAAAAATGATACTGCTGCAAAATACCTGCAGGAGAAAATATCTTTTAATGAAGCTGAAAATATTTCTAATAAACAGCTCTTTTCCACTTCTAGAAAAATAGAGTTTGAAATGCAGTTTTTTATAAAAGTTGTCTATATAAATTGCAGTTGTCTATATAAATCCACATGAGATATAATAAACAGACATTTTTATAGATTTATTTTTTTAATTCTATGTTTATTCTGTAGAGAAATCTGCCTTTTTTCAACACGACACAACTTAATTAATAATTTAAAGACTTGAATGGTCACTAATACTTAGAATTCATGATCTGCTTAAATTTCTTACTGGAGATTTCATAAGCAAAATCAAAATGACTTCTCATTATAAGGTTTCCTTTTGTTATTTGTCATTTTAAATATATTTGTTTTTAATTTGATATACACTTTATGGAAATACAACTAGATTATTATTAATAATAATATTGTTCCTGTGAAAGGAGAAATTTTGTAACAGGTTATTGCCTCAGATGGCTCAGAGAATCCACAGATCTTCAGAGGAAAAATCTTTGACTTCGGGCATGACAGTCTTTGATTAAATATAGTTAAAGGGATTTCAGAGTACATTTCACAAATGTAGTCTGACTGATCTCAATTGGACACTGCTAAAGTATGTTACACCCATATGTAATATTCAGTTGGTTTAACGATGTACCACTGAGAGGTTAAAAGTTCCCCTAGAAGGGCATTAGCTGTTTCTATTACAGTTCACCATAATAATGCTTGTGCTTTTTCTTTTTTTTTTTTCCCCTTTAGGCTGTACTTTGGAGGTACAAGTTTTCCCAGCTCAAAGGTTCTTCAGATGATGGGAAGAGCAAAATCAAATTCTTGTTTCAAAACACAGATACTAAACAAATTGAAGCAAAGGTAAAAACAGTATGTTCTCTTTTATAATGTCAATATACATTAAAACAGTTATTAAAGCATCTAGGAGACAGGAGGAATAAATTAAATTAAATTAATTAAAAGTATTAGATCAATGTGTGCAGTCAATGAATTTAAAGAAAAATAAAGAAATCTGAATGAACTGTTTGGATTTTTGGTAGATATAGTCTTTTAAAGGGCTCCATTACATTAAATATATATATGCCTAAAAGTATATATATCAATAATATATATATGTGTGTGTGTGTATGTATATATTATTGATATATATATTTTTAGGCATGTTTGCAAAGACTATTAAGACTATTAATCATTTTGATAAAGATGGCTTAGAGTTTAAATGCCCTCTCACCCTATACTTGTATCATGAAATGGTGCAAAACGTATTCTTTAGTCAGCTTGGTCAGACAATCCAGCAAGGGTCTAACATTGCTTTTATTTCTCAGAGAAAAAAAAAAGCGTGGATTAAACATAAAACCCATTACAAGAAGTTGTCATCAAATCTTTGTGTCTGTGTCTAATTCAAAATTAGAAAAGTTGCATTTTCAGTTGTGCTTTTGATTCAACAGTTGATTTACAAAAACAGTCACCTGAGATATTTATGCCTAGTTTTATGTCTGTCTTTTGAGAATAGTGCATTTACTATCCCAATGTATGTGAGGAAAAGTGATCTACAAGGCTCACTGATGACTGGAACTGCCTTAGAGTCTGAATCAGAGGTCTTTTTGGCTAGAATCCCAATATTTTCATGATCCTAAATATTTTTGCTTAGATGAATTTTATGCCTTGCTTTTGAAGCACTTAGTATATGTTTTTTCCTGTTCATGTCTATGTCAGAGAAAAAATTGCTGAATAAATGCAATAGCATTCTGTGAGGAAAGAGGAAATGGTTAAATACATTGTTTTCTAAAGGGGCTAAAAAAACAGAACATAATAAGGTATGCTAAGAAACAGGGCATTGTATTTCGGGCTATCAAGAGTTTAAACACAAACAGTTAAGGAACACTAAGCAGCTATTCTTCCTTCCTTTCCTTTCTTCACGTAACAGCTATTTACTTGATTTTGAATGTTATACTTAATATAATGAAGTATATATATTTTTTTAGGTATAAAGTAAAAGCTTCCATTATATCGACAGCAATGAAGTATGGTGGACTGTGTCTTTCAATACAATCATATTTTGCTTCTCAAGGATAAATATTTTCTTCCTGTTTTCTTCAGAAAATGTTTTAATACTAAAGATGTTTTCTTCACTAATAAGAAACAATAGCAGCCTAAAGCTTTAAGGATGATTTTTCTGTTAAGTAAATAATATGAAACTATTATCATGCTCCTGAGTACAGCTGAAGGATGAAACTTGTCATTTCTGTTCTGATATCTGTCTTGTATTGCTATTATGTTAACACAACATTTTAGGACTAGCTAAGTTAATGATGCAATATTTCTCAGAATTTTCTTTGGAATCCAAGAGTCAAATAGTGCTATGAGCAAGGACTTCCAGTGAGTGAGGTGCTATAGCAAGGACTTCCAATTTTGTTTATAAATGAAGTACGTGGCTTAGTCTAAGAAGTATGGGTAAACTTGTCTATAAAATGAAGGAAAAGATTCTTAGGTCATATTTCTTCAACTTTGCTTACTTTAAAATTCTGTGGATATCCCTCTTGTGTATCTATTGAGCCTTTCAAATATTTAAAGCACTACTCAGCACAAGAGGAGGTGGTATTTTTTTTGGAATTTGCTAGCATTACAGAGCTATAGAAATAGCTATTCAGGGAACTCTCTAGTCATTAGGAAATGTTAATCAGATTTTCAGAAATATTTGTAATGCCAGGTTTCATGCATGCTGTATGAAGGCTTCATTTGGAATCAGACTATGGGAATTTTCTAAAACATCTGTTAAAGGTTGTGTTGAATATTCATATCCAAAGCTATCATCAACTGTTAAATGAAACTCTGTATTATGCATGTCCTGGAGACCCACTGTTATAAGGGGAAAATAGAGGGTAACATTTACTTGAGATAAATATAATTTTCTGTGAGTTATATTATATGGGGAATTATCAGAATATAGTAGGATGAGAGCTTACTGTTGAAAGAAAAAAAAAATCTGAGGAACTATTACCTCAGCATATTAAGACTCGTCACTTTTGCATTCCCAAATGGTAACAAGGAAGCAGGACATAGCAGATAACTATGATGCAGCTCAATAAATTTGCTAGAACTGAGAGTACTTTTTTCCTCTTCATCATCAATGGTAACATGCTTCATGCAGAACCTGCTATGGTTTGTGCGTACTTGATTTGAGACTCCTGCTTTTTGTATCTCCAGTGCCTGTTTTATTCCATCTCAGTTTCAGCTCTGGCACTGACAAGATGCATTAATGTATTTAATGCAGTATAATTCAGCTGCACCTTGAAAATGTGAAATGGCCCAGACACAGATTTATTTTTTGTTTATATTTAAATTATACTGGCTTCATCATATAATTCCTCCCTGTAAGAATATGAATTATCAAAATCCCAATGCTTCCAGTCATCACTATGTACAATGCTGCACATCTTGTGTATCTCAGCCCAGGTATGTGTGCCTGTGTCATGTTGTGCCTGTGTGATAATATCCTTTAGATCTAGAACATTGATTCATGATCTAGAAAATTAAGAGCGTCAGAGTGCTTAGATATTTAATACTGATTCAAAATTTAGATACATTTGTTTCTATTCTATAAATATATCTGTTAATAATAAATACATCACTGTTAATGTTACAAGAATCCCAGAAAAATATGTTTTCTGAGAAAACATGCAGAATGACATCCCAGTGATCATGAGATCGTGGCCCCGCGACCGAACACAGATCTCGAGCTCATGCTGTTTATTTCCCATGCTCTATACATTGGTGTACAGGCACTTTAGGGAAATAGCAGGTGCAGTTACCCCTGGGGGGATACAAGAAGAAGGTACTGGATGTCCCTCTGCCTTTTCTTTTGGGTTGAAAAGATAAACATAGAAGCGAGAGTTTATTTCTCATCCATAAGACACAAAAGGATTCATTTAGGCACCTTGCTATCTATTTATCTATTTCTTTAGCTGTAGCTTAGTGGTCTGTTAATGTTTTTCCAGCATCATAGCAGCTTCCAGAAATTAGCACAATCTCAGTGCATAAACTCACAGCACTGTACTCTTCAATTTTACCTGGCCAAAGAGTGGACCACTGCAATGAAAACTGTTTTTTGTTTGTTTGTTTGTTTTGTTTTGATTTGTTGTTGTTTTTGGTTTGCTTGTTTGTTTGTTTGTTTCCTGACAAAATGTGTATTAAATCCATGAGAGATTCTGTTTGCATACATACAGGCTCCCAACCATCACAGTATGGAATATATATATATCTAAAGCAGGATTATTGCTGATTTTTTACTGTATGCAATTTCCATTTACATTTTGTAAATAAACACACAACACAGTAATTTCCCCATTACAAAGGCAGGAATTTGATACTTAGTAAATTAGAATAGCAATAGACCTACAGAACTGGACTGAGCAAAAGTATGACCTCACATTTCACCACCGTAAAACAAGGCATGGTGTATATCCCCAAAACTACACTTCTCTCTGTGCTTTCACCTTTCTGAACTTCAAGGGATTTTTCACAGCTGAACAGTTTTCTCAGCAAAACTTGGCCAAAATCACCTATAGTGTGACAAAGACACCTACAGCTATACTGTATCAGGTTAGCTTTTTTTCACAGACTAGATGATTCTCTGAACTAAGAGCGTTATGAAACAGAGGTGAGCAGAGAAATCAGCTAAAACTGGGCAAAACTATGGTATCAGCAAAAGAAGTTTAAATTTAATTTATTTTATTATAAATACTAATTAATTAATAATACATTAATAGTAATTACTGTTATTTAATTTGTTCTTGAAATTAGCTTATGTAGAAATATAATCTATAATAAGAAAAATAGCCTGAATTACTACTGTTTTAATGTGAACAAAATACTTGCTTTCAAGTGCATTGCAAGGTGTCATGATGAATGCTTTTACGATTTTCCAGGGTGAAAATATGAATATATTTTATTATATATGAAAAATATTTCTGCTCATTTCAAGCATATTCTCCAAAGTATAATTTTAATTTAATCCTTGTTCTTAGCCTTGATGTTTTTTATGTGAGCATCACACTGCGCTTCAAATTTAGAATATCAGCTTTAAATGGGTTTTAAGTATACATCCTTCAGATTTTTATAGAGTGATTGCTCAGTTGCAGTGACTGAATTCTGAGTTCAGATTTCTGAACTGTGTAGGTATTTGTGTCTTAGTTTTTAGTTTCCCTGCATCTTGCACATGGAATATCTGTTTCATATCTGTTTAAATCAGATTCTATCCTAATATATAGAGACTATTTAACATCATATTTGATGAAGCAACAAATGTCATCACATATCATCAGTTTATATAAGGATGAAAGAGATTTGTTGTGACAAAAACATGAATACTTACAAACTAACAGTTGTTTGATTTTGTAGATGTACAGTTTTGTAGATGTACAGTTTACGTAGTTGCACCATTAATATAATGCAATAATAGTCAATTTGTACTTTTTTTTTTTTTTTTTTCGTTTGGGACCCCTCTTAATTTTCCTTTTTTTTTTTTTTTTTTCCATTTTTGTTTTGTCAATCCGGATTTTCTTTGTGTAAGTTTACTAGAATTTTCATACACTTCTGGCCATGCTCAATGACTTTATGTTTCTCACACACCTTTTTACTGACTTACATTGTCCTCTACAGAAACTGCAAATGTTCAGATTAATAGTCTGGTAATGCCGGGTGTAATAACAACAATGTTGGGTGAGAATAGATTGGTTAAGAGATAGGTGAATGGAGCCCAAGAGGGTATAGTGGTATTTTTGGAAGAGTGGGGTTGTTGGTGATGGGTACAGACAACAGTCTGGAAATTGGAATAACAGTAAATTGTATTCTTGTACATGAACAAATAGATGAAGTTTGGATTTCCTTGCTTTTTGAGGATTCAGAATATCTGCTTTTCCCTATAGGTGGCACCCTTAATAGCTCGATAGCATATTTATTTAGGTTTCTTAAAGTTTGTTTGTTTGTTTATTTGAACCTGGGGATGGAATATACAATATTCCGGGTCCAAAGAAGGGCGACGAAGCTGGTGAGGGGCCTGGAGAGCAAGTCCTATGAGGAGCGGCTGAAGGAGCTGGGCTTGTTCAGCCTAGAGAAGAGGAGGCTCAGGGGTGACCTTATTGCTCTGTATAAGTACATTAAAGGAGGCTGTAGAGAGGTGGGGGTTGGCCTGTTCTCCCATGTGCCTGGTGACAGGACGAGGGGGAATGGGCTAAAGTTACGCCAGGGGAGTTTTAGGTTAGATGTTAGGAAGAATTTCTTTACTGAAAGGGTTGTTAGGCACTGGAACGGGCTGCCCAGGGTGGTGGTGGAGTCACCATCCCTGGAAGTCTTCAAAAGCCGTTTAGATGTAGAGCTTAGGGATATGGTTTAGTGGGGACTGTTAGTGTTAGCTTAGAGGTTGGACTCGATGATCTTGAGGTCTCTTCCAACCTAGAAATTCTGTGATTCTGTGATTCTGTGTAATATCCTGCTAGATGAAAGTGTACTCATACAAGTAGATGGCTGATAACAGAGTATATACAAAAACAAAAAGGGGGGGCTAGGTGTGCAGAAAAACTTGTGGGCTCCCCTCCATCATGCAGTACTGCAGACCCATGGAGATTTAAAAGTGCAAGTTCTCAACACAAGTGAGGGAACGTTTTGTCTGTCAGCACCTATTTGTGAACCCTTATCTGTTCATTAAGATTTCTTGTGACTAGTCCAGAAAAATGTTGCTCCTGATGGATCCTATTCCAGCAATTAGACTCCTTTGAATTAAGCTGCAGACTTTAATCAGGCTTGTATGTACTCACCGCAAACCAATATCAGCTTACTTTGATTCACATTTCTTCTATTTCCAATGTTAATGTGAAGCATGCTTGTAGCAGAGTTTGTGTGTGATCCCTCTTTTTCCTTCTGATGCACCCGCCCTTCTAGGGAGAAGTGGATGTGATCACAAGGGTGGGAATTCTGCCCTGCACAGTCAGGACACAAGCTATGTGTCTTTAAACAGATTCACAGATTTTGGTTATTTTGATTAGCTGGTGTGAGGGAAAAAATAAAATAAAATAATGTGTCTCTCTTTATCAAGCTGACATTACTTGGAGCCTCCACCTTGAATGTGTGTACCAAGCTAAATTCTGTGATCACAGAGGTTCCCATTTCATTCAGTACATGACATGATACACACATTGACACTGAAATAGGAATAATATTTCATGCCAAATAGCAATCTAGCATTTGTTGACTTGTTAGTGCTCGTCTTTACAATCAAGGTAATGTGTTGTGTCATTGCTGTCAGTAACAGTGAACCAATGGGACCTTCAGCAGCTGTGCTGTTTTCTCTCACAGTTTCATTGAAGGTCCATTGAGCAATGGATCTTCCCACTGTGTTACTGTTGCAGAAACACCTGTGATAACTGGTTGTAATTGTACTAATGCACTGTGAAAATTCAGTGCCCGGTAGCCATAATTATGATGTACATAAGAACTTTCAGCTAGTAGGATTACCTAATTGACTCGAACAATTCTCAAACTGTACTATTTGTTTTAATAGATTTGCTCTGTTGAAACATAGACAAGAAGGTAGTCTTTTCACAGATAACACAGAAGTGATATCGTGTTTAACTAAATTATTTTCTCATCTTAAGCTTCAGTTTTATTTTTATAGTACCAGAAAGATATTAATAAAAAGGGGTTAACTGAAAAGTAACTTAATTTAAATGACTGATGTTTCTTGAAGTTCCATTAAAAAAAAAAAAAAAAAAAAAAAGGGGGGGGGGGGGTTGGGGGAACCTCTGGCTTAGTATTTTAAAATGAAAATGTCTCTAAACAGATTTTTTAAATGGACACAGGTGGAAGGTATGTGAAACTTTATCTTCCTTAATGAGAATTAGTACTTAGGGGATGTTAAAGAAGCTTATGAGCAATTAAAAATTAATTTCTGAGCATGTCCAAAGTACATCTGCTCAGGTTGTAAGAGAGTTGAACAAAGCTCCACTCATCTAGTACATCACTGGATATTCGGCACACACAACCCTCTGCTTTCAGGCAGTTGTTACCCCTTGAAGATAAGGGATTTGTGAATGTCTCCATGAAATACGTAAAGCAACATCTTCTAGGAAAGGTCAGGAGGCAGAAAATTGCGTGTTAATGAAATTTTTAGAATTTTATCATTTTTTTGTTGAATTCACAATAATATCAAAAAAAAAAAAAACACAAATTTTTGTCAAACATCAACTATCAGTGCTGGACAGAAAGACAAATAGGACAGTTGCTGGCTTCAGTACAGAAATTTACATAGATGGGGAATCAAAGCAAAAAGATGGCAACTCTGCACCACCATCACTACAAATGTATGTATACAAATACCTCAGTATCTGCTTTCAAATACAGCAGATGTTTATTGATTAAATATCAACACCAAAAACACATACTGAAGAAACCCTAAAAAAAAAAAAAAAAAAAAAAAGTTGTCATCATGATCTCATTGATCAGGAAAAGTCAATTAGACACAAAGGAGCAAATATGTTAAAAAAAAAATGTATTTTTTATTTATTTCCTCTCTTGTAGTGTCTAAGAAAGTCTCAGTTGAGGAGCTATAAAGAAATGTAAATTAAAGTAGAACAAGAATGTCTTTGCCTAATATTGCACATAAGTGTAAAACATGAAGTCTGTTCTTAATTTTTGGTCCAATAACAATATTTGCCTCAGTGAAGACAGAGCCAGAATATCACTGTATGATAGTAGCACATTTTAAAAATGTCTTAAAAAAAAAAAAAAATGAAGAATCAACATAGGTGAAATAATAGTTACCAATGTGGTGAGGTAATATGACAGATAAATGTGATATATGTGGAAATCAACACTGCTGAACTTTGTGGCTACACTGAATATACAGTAGATATATGTTATGGTGCACTCATTTATTTTTTAAATAAATCAACCTGCAAAATGTGCCAGATTTGTATTAATAAAATGAGGGGGAAAATGGACTGTATGATTGTCTCATGCCTTCTTTACCAGGCAGGACCTCATATTTCTGTGGAAGCACTTAATCAGAAAATGGTCCATGTCAGCATCTAAACAATTATTTACAGAATAGAGAGAACTCAGTCTCTAAGTCTCTATAAGGGAGAATTTTCAGGCACATCAGCAGAATTATGTCAAACTATTAAAATTATTTGTATTTGAATCACAGTTCATTCCTGGGTGTATATCTGTGAGGTCTTCTTTTGATTCATTTTAAATCTTTTTGTTTTCACTTCCAGGAGCTGGAGTTTTCCAACCTGTTTGCAGTCCTTCACTGTATCCACTCATTCTTTGCAGCCAAAGTGGCTTGTTTGGACCCTTTGTTTGTAGGCAGTCAAGCCACAACTTCTGCTGCTCCCACAACTTCTGGTACTGGCAAATTAAAGTATACTACTTGATATCTCACATTACAGCACTGCCACTTAAGAAAAAGACGCAACAGTGTATAAATATTCATAAGATGTAGACCTTTGGTGAACCATGTACGTGGAAACCAATCCTGGAGTCAAGACATCTTGCAGCATCAGCAGATAGATGGTCACATGGGATCATAAATTCATCTCTGTTCTGCAAGACACCAGTAAATAATCCTAGCCAAAACCCCAGAATAGGATGGATATGCTTTTAGTATGATCTATTTGTACTTAGATAGTGCTTTAAGCAACATTGGAAGCAAAGGAATAAATGATGCAATGAAGCACTTCAGTATTTAATAAAATTTTCAAATGGCTGTAATAATACACAAATAGAATTGTCATTTTCCTGTTTTCAGATTTTTTATGACAATATGCTAAACTCTGAGTATGAACTTAATACCCAATGATTGTGTTATAAATGACATAAGAGCAAGCAACAAGCATATAGTACATGGTGACAAGGAGATGAGCATGAAAAGGCATTTGTGTAAGTATCTCCTCAAATAAGAAAGCACTTTAAGCATTGTTGTAAATCCATACTTGTGTCCATACATGAAGTATGGAGTCATGCTACTTTTTCTATTTTGTTCTTTTATTCTAACAATAACAAGATATAGCCATATTGACTGGCATATAGAATAAAAACAAAAAGAAAGCCAACCAACAGACAAAACATAACCCTTCTTCCACGATTAGGTCCCTGTTCTTCAAGTGATGATAATGTGATATGTATTTTATTTTAATTACAAGTTAAGTGCAAGTGTGTAAAATATCGCATCTGCTGTTTACTTTTCCTTTTTTTTTTTTTTTTTTTAGTTAACTAAGTTCTGTAAATCTAAAAGTCTTTGCTCACAAGACTTAGCTGTTGAATTTGTTTCAAACATAATCCACCTAATACATTGCTCCCATGTTTAACCTTCGTTCCACTCAGGATCTCAACAAAATAGGAGTTTGAAATATGCTTGAAAAATGAGTCCAACTTTTGAATTCTTAATAATTTCTTTTTATATCTTGCTAGTAAGAGACAGGAATAAAATAAATAACCTGTAACAATAGAATAGATGACAATGCATAATGTCTTTGTATATTAAAAATACATCACCCTCAACTACATATCATCCATACTAGTTCCAGGATTTCATTTATTGATGAAACTTGAAGGATTTGTACATTCATAACTAATAACTTTATTTAAATATAATTTTACAAAATAATTTAATTTTTTGCTATTACACACATCAATGAAGATGGCAAAGTGGTGGGAGCACGTGTGGGATATGAGCATATATGGGATAAGAGCAAAAGAGGTGGTATGGTGTTTTGGCCAAACAGGATATAAATCTAAAAGACTGCAGAGAGAACAGTTAGTGCAGATTTAGTGTGTGCATAATATTTTAAATAATACTTTCTGGAGATTCTATTTATTATATTGAAATCCAATTTTTTGTTTTGTTTTGTTGTTTTGTTTGTTTGTTTGTTTTCCCCCAATTAAACTTGTTATAAATACTCATAGAAAGGTTAGGGACACAATCTCTCATGTGTAGCAGAAGGATAAAATCTTTCACATCCACTTTTATATATTAAAATAAGGAAAACTTCATAAGAGAAGCCAGAGAAAAGCTTTTTCACAATGGGAACAAAATGTAATGCAGACACAAAAAATGAATGAACCACAGCGGCAAATTATGCATCTGTTTTTACGCTTTGCAGTAGAAATATTTGGATTTCTGTGTGTGAGAAAGTGTCCCTGCAAAATGGGGAACTGAAGTAAAGCTGACAGCAGAAGATTCTAGTTATATATGTACTAGAATCTGAATTCAAATTATAACCAAATAACCTGAAAAAAATGTTTTCTGGCAACTCTTTATTGTTTCCAAATGACTATCAATCAGTAGGTGCTTACTTCTTATTAGTACATCTCCTAAAAGATGTACATTAATTTACAGCATTAAAAATTTTCTGTTTGTGTTTCACATCCTATGCTAAATACAATTGAATAGTGTCATTATCCAGCTATTATCCAGCTGTTTTAAATGTCAACAAAATCCATCATTTTCATAGTTATCATCCTGTTTACATGAAGCTTCCCTAAATAAGGGGGTCAGATCCTGGTCTTTGCTTCACAAGTAATAATGCTGTGGCTGTCCATAAGATCTTGAGTTTGTTCCTGGGAGATTATAAGTGCCAGATGCTTTAAATCTAAAACTACAACATTCAAAGGGGTTTACTGATGGTAACTCAGGCAATGTCCTTGTCAAGAAGGCATGTACTAGAAAAAGCAAATTTTGACAGAGCACTGACAATGCTGGAAACAGAATGAAAACAGAATCTGTTAGTAACAGTTCTCTCCCTCTGTACTCACAGATCATCTCCTTCTTGTTAGTGTGTTGTTGTGGCATTCAGCCATCCCAGTGTTGGCATATGCCAACACCTCAGTAATATGTGCTCTGCAGGTAATAGCAGAATCTAGAATTAATCAACTGCCAGTTGAATGTTTTTCCTTCAACCAGCTCATATGACATGCAGAATTGCACCACTGAAACTGAGTAATTTAAGAGATGTTTAATACAGTTAAGTGAACATAATGTTTATCCACAACAGCAGAAAGTATGCTATTGCAAATTGCAGTAGATTAAGAGATTCTGTGATATGAAAGCCAAAAATAAGTAAGTAAATAAATAATTTGCTTCCTGTGTAGAACTGGTCTCATGACATGAACTTAATAGGCTTGGACTCTACTAGGGTATCCTAAAGAACTTTGTCATGAATTTTGTTTGTAGAACTGCTATACTCATCAATAAGAATTTTTTAACTGGGCATTAAATATACAATATTTAAGAGACAAACACTAGCCTACAAATTAGAACTGCATTTGTTGTTGTTGTTGTTGTTGTAGTTGGTTTTATTATTATTATTATTATTTATTTATTTTATTTTAAAAGAGCTGAACTGTTGGGGCTTAATCAAATTTTTCATTTCAAGAAGATAGAAGTGTGGTTCAGAGAGCATAAAATGCCATAGCTTTGGCTACATGTCAGCACTGGTTTGTAAATGGGAGGTTTGGGGGGCTTGGGCACTGACCTTAGAGTATTCAGGTTTGCCCTCTTGGGGCAAGTTGGTCAGAAACTCAGCCTTGAAACAAGAGGGAAAATTTCAAACAATGTGTAATAGCGAATCCTGAAACAACAAGATTTAATTTAAATATCTACATATTTCATATAAATATACAAAGAAGATTCTAAATCATTGTGAACCTCATGTGTATATGTAAAAAGCCAGGCTTTATATTGCTCTCATTTAACATATATAATGAATCCATGCATTTTGTAAGTTAACACAGCCCACTGAATATGAAGAAAAAACAGTTATAAAGAACTATCGGCTCTTACTAAAAATTTGTATGAAAATTAAAGCAAATATTTAACAAATAAAAGAACAAACAAAGTCAAAGAGTAAAACATAATTTGTTCTCTTTATGTATTATATTCTTAAATAAGTTTAATTAAAAAAAATCTTTATACTTATGGTATGTGACTATTGAAATTATATTTTATAACATACCAAATGTAACATACTCTTAAATATAACAAAATATATTTGGGTTTATTTGATTTGCTTTATGATTGAAATTTCAGATAATCTGAATTCAGATAATCTGAATCTTCCACAGAACTAACCATAAGCGAGGCTATAGTGTTAACATAATCTTTTATGAAAGTGTTGCAGATTTATATACATGTTTTTCTGAATTTCATCAGTGAATGAATACATTTTGTTTCCTACATCTGTTTAAAGATATAGTTACAGATTTTCAAAAGAGATTTGCAAACCAGTAGCATGAAGGCATTTTTGAAATAAAAATCAGGATATTTTTAAATGTTTGTCATTTTATTATTTTTTTTTAAGTAGGTGCAGTAGGAGTTTTGTGGACACAAACCAGTTGTAAGTTGATTATTTTTGAAAACCAGTAATTTGAACTTTTGGTTATTCAAACTAGAATTCATAAAAATGTAAAATAATAATATACAATATCAATATGCTTTGAGAAGAAATTACTGAAAAATATTATTTTCCAAATTAGTACTTAATTCCATGAAAATATACTTATTTACTTTGTGTGCTTTAACTTTATCAGAACATCTCACAGTGGACTAGGCGGTTGCAGTTACTACATCCTGTTATTTTACATACGATTTAGCTTATTCAATGCCTTAATATGTTTCCTACATCAAGATAAATATTAAAAAGGCTGAAGATCTTTTAAATGTACAGCTGCTGCCCTTAAAATTCAGTAGCTTTGCTGTTGTTTAAGCACCCTCTAGTATTCCCTATGCAAAAAAGAAAGATCAGTTTTCATTCTGACATAGCAATGCAAAAATGGAAAGAGGAAAATGCAAAATTATTACTATGAAACACTAACTCCTGTACTGCACTTTCCATTCCCTTACAGGGTCTGGTCCCTGAGAAAGTGTAGTTTCTGGAAAAAAAGCTCAAGCTGATTTTAAAATGTTCATCCTTGGGCAATTTAAAATCTTCAGATTTGGACATCGGAGGCACTCACCCAAATTCCCTAAATTTTAGCACCTGCCGTAGATGCTCAGTACAGGACTTGAGGCTCTCAAAAGGGCAATACAAGGCAGGACCACAAGTTAGGACTCTGAAGGTATGTTTGTCTCTAACTACAGTAACCACTGTAGTTGTAGGTAGCCACTGCACTGTAGATGCAGTCACATTCATGTTTTCAATTGCATCAGCAATGTGCTTTTGAAGTCAGGCTCCTGCCCACTGCCTCTCACTGTGCATTTTGCAGAGCAGGCAATAAACACACAAAATGAGTTTTTAAGCTGAAGCTAAACCAGCATCACACCTCATGAGTTCCAACTGCTAATGGACATTCAGTCCATATGACCTGACTAAAGCAAGTTGAAAGTCAGAATCCCCCTGAAACACTAGGGCTGTTGGGTCCTGGTGAGAGCCCTTTCTCTCTGCACGGTGGCTGATGTTCATGCACCGTGGGTGCTGGAAGGACCCCAGAAAGCTGAGCTTCCTTGGGCAGTCTGACAGAGCCTAGTGCCTGGGACAGGAAGCGGTGCTGCAGCAAAGGGCTTAATTGAACCTTCTTTTAAAGAAGGCAGCTGACAAAAGCCCATGCCAAACTATCCTGCATTGCCCTTTTCCCTTGCCACAAAGGGAAATTACTGACTGCAAGTAGGTTACATGGTGCTGGTCAGCCCTCTCCCTGCTGTGTCTTTCTTCCCATCTATCACAAATGCATACCTGCAAATTCACTCTGACATCCCCATGAACACTGCTGTGTCCCCTCACACCCTTTGCTCTGGACAGATGGCAAAACTGCATTCACTCAGCTACGTAAGGGAGCATCTAAACGTACGATACAGCCAGGGGACAGTAAGCATTATGGCAAGGGCATCCATGTACCAGAGGAATGCTGTAGTCTGTGACTAACTTTTGGGCTAAAGTTAATAAAGTCATACCTGAGCCTAAGTGCTTTCCTGACTAGGACAGATCTTAAATGCAATTTTAGTAGTTTTCCTATAATTAAGTCTATAATGTCAACAAATTTCTACTTTCTTGACTCCTTTTCCCATTTTCAGGATGTTCAGTGGAGATAGCAATTCATATTCTGTTGGAATCAGAGGGAAAAACACAAGGATACTGGAATACAAATAAATTTCTATTTGGATTCTATATATTATTACAGTACATTCCATGTCTATTAAAATATGTTGAATAATGTAAAACTAAATGCTTTCATTTAGCTAACCTAGCCGGTTTTCATTGTTATTATACACGTCTCCCACTTTCAACAACTTTCTCTACAAGAATCCCAACTATACATTACAGAAATGCTTTCAATATTCAGTATATACTAATATATAATGCATAGTGTGTGTGTGTGCGTATGTGTGTATATATTAGTATATACTAATGGAAAATATTCAGTATATATTAATGAAAGTTACATATTAGGCACAACTATAAAACAGAAGCATAAATCCATGAAGCTTTACATTTAAAAACTTAATCTTATAATACTATAAAGAAATATGTATATTAGTTGAAGAAATGGCTATTTTTGCAGGATATGCACAATCTGGATATATGATAATAAATTGATGAACATTAACTGATTTACTATTTCATACCTCCAGAATTTTGATTTTTTAATTATTCTTATCCTTAAGCACATTTGCAATATATGTCATAAGTTTTAATTTGTTATGAACAAAAATGAATGAAAAAAATGTAATAGAAAGTGCTATATATTTTATAAATATTAAAAACTGAAGAAAAAATATACAATTTATTTATTTCATTTTCAGTTATGTTTTTGTGGTTGTTTGTAATATGTATTTGTGACGAACACGTCACTTAGTTGTTTAAGCTCATTAATGTACCACTAATAAAACGCTATCTTCTGTTTTGTTTTTGTTATGTTTTGTTTTGTTTTGTTTCTTTTTGTAACAGAACATAACAGAAAAATGTAGAAAATAAATACTTTTTAACTAATCTTTTGCATTCGGTCATAGAGTGTATGAGTTTTATATAATTGAAAGTCAAGTCTGAGAGATCAAGAGAATACTTGAAGAACCAGGGGTGTTAATGTTATTGCCTACCTATTCAACTGATTATTTGATAGAAATAATGACAATAGCTCACTTGTATGATCATTTCCACAAGACAAGTCACCCACTCAAAGTCTGACTAAGATTTCTAAATACCTGTCTTTTCCCCCTGGCTATGAAACTCACCCCCTTCAACAATCAGATTATTTTACTATTGACATTTAAATGCTTATTGTTGGTTGGAGTGTTCCTGGGCCTGATACTGCAATGCCTGAAGGTATTTTCTGGTACATCTTTGCAATGTAACAATTTTCAAACAGTGCTGCCACTATTAGAACAAAGCCAACCTTGATCAGTTCAATTCTGTTTGACTTTTTCCATGACTGAAGGCATGGATGGGGAGAAAAGGAGCCCCAGTGGTTAGCTAAGCATTGTACATTTTCAACAACTGAGGAACACTGCAGCACATTTTTTGCATGCATATCTTTTGTGCCCTTCTTGAGATTCCAGTGTGGAGAAGCGAGGTCTGCTCCCCTGTCACCGTGCTTCTGTTATTCTTTCCCAACCCATTGTTCCATAACCAATCACCAGGGTTTTCTCAGACCTCAGTCTGTTGTTGCCTTCCTTAGCTCTGTACTCAAGGAAGTCCCAGTCTTGCTAGTCTTAGCCCTTTCAGCATCTTGAAGAGAAGGAAAAATATATATATATATATATTAGAACAATAAGTGTGATGAATATTTTGTTCTGAAAAAATTCTCACTCCCGAGTGATTCAGTTGATGTGGGTTAGCAAACATAGCTATCTCTCTGGCACAACTATAGTTGTTTCATGTGTCTCAAGTTTGTTTTTATACCACATTGAAGTGAAAGTCCGGAAAAGAAATGAGAGGTTAGAGCACTTAAAAGAAGTGAAGAATGTCACAGAATATTACGAAGTTAGGAAATTTTTTGAAGTAAATATATTCCAAGTGTAAAGGACTGCTATTACAGATGCCATTTCTGTTTTCTCTTTTAGAATCATAGAATCATTAAGGTTGGAAAAGACCTCTAAGATCATCTGATCCAACCATCCACCTACCAATATTGCCCACTAAACCATGTCTTTAAGCACCATGTCCAATCTTTCCTTAAACACCTCCTGGGATGAGAGCCCCCCAGGAATGATGTTTTATTTTGTTGAAGAGCTGAAGATTTTTATTATTTATTTTTTTAATTCTATAAATGCTTATTTTCTTCTGAAATACCAATTTTTATCTAGCAGCTTCTACATCTTTCCCAATGATTTTGGCCTCACATGAAAATTCTTGTTATCACGGTTTCTTAAAATACAATCCTTGAATAAGTTTCTTTCAATTCACGATTTGTATATGTCACAACTAACATACTTGCCCTCCAAGAAGAAAAGTTAAGAGAATCTTGGGGCACCTACTGGGCCCAGATGAGCCTATGCTGCTTCTGCTTCCCGGAGTGCCAAACCACGCCACTGTGGAGCCTTTCTCAGAGGCTCAGTGCTAGTCCAAGGAGAACTGTATCATTGTTCTTTTGTCCATATACAGACACGTTTTGGCGATTAAACAAGATTAAACTGGAAAACTGTCAAGTGTAGGTAAGGCCTTGCTGCCCAGTGGGCTCAGGAGAATGTTGTAAGGATAAAAACTATGGGTAACTATGATGTACAAAAGAGCTGAGGGTACTGAGAAGATGGAAAGGTGGGTATGTTTTGATGTCCTTCCATAAGACACTGTAAATCAAGATAAATTTAGCTCTCTAATAGAAGAAGGATGGGAAAAAAAATTGCGTTGGAAGAGCCTATGAACTTCAAAGCATTTACTCTTACATCGCTGGTACAGTAAAAAGGGAATATTGCTTGGACCAAATGGTTATGGTACAAGTTACATATCACACATCGGGAGACAATTTAACACTCAAGAGTACATAAACAGAGATTTATTCTTTTTCCTAAAGTACACAGCATAGAAACAACAGCATCTGGCAGGGTGTGGGCAGCAGCTCTGTGTGACCATATTAATGTTTATAAACACGTAAAGGGTGAGTGTCAGGAGGATGGAGCCAGGCTCTTCTCAGTGACACATGAGTGCAAGCTGGAATATAAGAGGTTCCACTTAAATATGAGAAGAAACTTTACAGTGAGGGTGACAGAACACTGGAACAGGCTGCCCAGAGAGCTTGTGGAGTCTCCTTCTCTGGAGACATTCAAAACCTGCCTGGACACATTCCTGTGTGATGTGATCTAGGTGTTCCTGCTCCAGCAGGGGGATTAGACTAGATGATCTTTCAAGGTCCCTTGCAACCCCTAACATTTTGTGATTCTGTGCTACACTCCAATTTGGCCTTGCAAAATTGTAGTACTTGAAGATAGTGCTTCACTTGCTTCCCATTTTTCTAGATACCTAAGGTCCAACCTGAACCTTTTTTGGACTTTTTTTTGTTGTTGTTGAAAAAAATATATTTTTGTTGAAAGATTTTTACCGGATACTGAGACTGAGAACATATCCGTAGAAACTGGGGTTTTAACAAAAACAAAAGTACTCTATCAAGTACCAGTCCCAGTGAAAAGACAAGAAAGAAACTTCCTATGAGGCCAGGCAAGAATGAAACTTCCTATGTGGCCAGATCAAAGCTTTCTCTTTTGAATAGAAAAAAAAAAAAAATCCTTTGAGATAGATGTCTCTTTTCATTTTTCTTTATCTCTTTTCTTTCTTTTTCTTTTCTTTTCCTTTTCCTTTTCCTTTTCCTTTTCCTTTTCCTTTTCCTTTTCCTTTTCCTTTTCCTTTTCCTTTTCCTTTTCCTTTTCCTTTTCCTTTTCCTTTTCCTTTTCCTTTTCCTTTTCCTTTTCCGATTCTTCTTCTTTTTCTTCTTTTTCTTTTTCTTCCTTTTTTTTTTTTTTTTTCTTTTTACCATTTTGCTTCAAAAGGCTAGTGAGGGAAGAAACAAGATCTTAGAAAGGTTAAGGCCTTTCACTGAAGCAAGGAAAAGAGATCATGGGTGGTTGGCTGTGGTCTTTGCTACTGCAGTTCTGCCCAGTACAGCAAAGGCTGAGATCAGGGCATCATCACAGACAGTCTACATTCTGTTCACACTGGAAGGCAAATATTTGCAAATAGCATGAAGTTAAGGCTTTTCATCAGTTCGCATGAAAAAATGGGAGCTTATACTATGGTAAAAATGGAAATTGAAGGGCAAAGGTAACTCAAACCTGTGTGGTCTGTGCTTTCAGTTGTACAGAAATATTCACTGAGCTTTCCCTGATAGCAAGGTAAAGGGCCTCAGTGCTGATGTGGTGTACAAAAGATCAGAGCTGTCAGGGTGGATTAAGGGAACCTAGTGACCTACTGTGAAAGACCAAGGGGCTTGTGAGATGATAGGAAAATCTTTGGAGGAATACAAATTTAGGAAGAACAGACCAAGTCAGTGAATCTGATCCAGCTTCCTCAGGCAGTTATGTCATATAAACCCTCTCACAAATGTTTAAAATTCATCTTAAAAGTAATTAGGCATTCTGGCACTCTTCCTCTTGCTGGAAAATCTTCCAGAATTTCACTGCTCCGATGGCTTGAAACTGTCTTCTAGTTTCCAGCCTAAACCTATTTGTAGCTAGTTTATATCTATTTGATTTTGTGCCAGCATTATCCCCTAATTTAAATAGTTCTTTTCCAGCCCTGGTGTCAGTTCACGCTTTCCCCTCCTCTCCTTAGTATATTTATAGCAAGCAATCATATGCCCTGACAGCTTTCATTTTGCCTGAATGCACAAACCAAGCTCATACAGAAGATGTCTGTGCAATGCAGGGAAATTTGGTGCAGAGACTCCTAAGCTATTGCTGACTCTAGCTGATAAGTCTACCTGTTGTGCTCCAGCAGTACCAGCTCAGGGGCAGAAGCAGCTCATCCACTTTAATGCAATTTAAGATAATAAATACTGCCCAACAGCACCACACCATGATGTACTGCTTCCAGAGCAGATGAAATCCATGGCAGCTCAGGGCCCTCTGCACTGCTCTTTGTTGCTCAGTGCAGACATTCGCTAATCAGGTTCCCTGGCTTGTTTCCATACTATCCTAATGGGATGCAGTCTTACTCTAAATCTGTCCCAATAAAACATTTTCCCTGACTGTGACTACTTCCTCATTGCATACCATGCTCCAGATATGATCTCCCTTATGTCCTACCCTATGTCCTTAATATTTGTTGATAGTCTGAATAGATGGATGAACACTGGTTGCATGAGTTATTCCCATGGCTGCATCACACTGGTGACTCAGAGTCATCTTGTGAAAATACAGTATATCACAGACCTACTTGTTCTTCTGGTCGTGTGATCAGCTCTCAGTTCATCAGTAATGAGGATGGATATACAAACAGGTCAGTTTATCACCCAGAAGATAAACTAGGATCCTGTCTTTTTTTTTTTTCTTTTTCTTTTTTTTTTTTTTTTGTCCCCTTCAGTTTACAGAGGGAGGGGGTGGGAGTCAGTGAGAAATGAGTCATCATTTTAAGAATTTGCTTTCAGTGAGAAAACTCCAATGGGTGTCAGGGTAAAGATACAGATTTGGATGCAAATCTTTTTTTTTTTTTTTTTCTTTTTTTTTTTTCTGGAAGGCAGGTTGGAGGATTTATAATTTAGCCCTTCCCTTTCCACATCTTTTGGCTTCCAGCCATGACTGAACAGAAGAAAATAAAGAGCCCTCTAAAGGGCAAAGGAGAAAGAATGAAAGGCTTATAGGAAACCTTTTCTTTATGGGCTTCCAGAGGTAAAATATCTCTAGCATTTATCAAGTCTTGTTTCATCTTTGCAATCAGACAGTTTAATTCTGAGTGATTAATCTTTCCCTTTTTTCC